ATTAAAGTGAATCCAGGCTGCCTTCGGATGGTGCACTCTTTGCAGCTAGAACGATGTGTGGCATGGTGCCACAGCGTGTCAGCTGAAAATGGCCAGTTTTGCTAAGAATAGCCTCTGTCACTAGCCATTGAGAAGAATGAACGAGATCTGGCTATTTGGAGGTGATGCCTGACTGTGGGCAGCGTGGGGCCTCGGTCTGATTCGGGGGGCCAGGAGATGGTGCAGGCTTCCTGAGGGAAAAAGGGTCTGTGATTCTTCAGAGAAAATGGGAGTTTATTTGTTGTTGTGAAGGAAAACATAACCATTTCTGAAAAATATTTGCAGAAGCATGATTAATCTTTAAAATTCAAAAGCAGTGTTATGTAATTCTCAAGTATTACCCGTGTTCAGGAGTATAGCATACATAAAAGGTAGGAAGGTTAGAATTTGTTAATTTTTCACCACAGTAATTCGGAACATAAATAATTATAATGAGCTATCCATGACTAAGTATCTCAACAAATTTATCATCCTTACTTACAATAAATACCTCAGCATGGATATTAATGTCTCCTTTAACTTTACAGAAGTCAGTGGAGATGTCTGCATTACGGCTTACTTGTCATTTCAAAGTACTGTGCCCATACTCTTATCTACACATTTCTGGTTGTCTGTGTCTCTAAACAGATTTTTCAGGATTTCCTGCTCTTGCAGGCTCTTTATTATCACAGAAAATAATTTCTTTCTGTCATTGGGAGCCTACTTTTTTTGTGTATCTCTGTTTCCCTATTATTTGAATTAACAGGATCTCAGAATTTATGACACTTTTGTCTCATGGCATACTGCTGTGGATGTTTCCAACCACTTCATGTTTTCCACATGCGTCATCTATAGGTCTGAGTCTGTTAAAGCAAAGAAGGTTTCCATCCTGGGAAGAATGAAGAGGTTTTTTTATTTAACATTAATAGTTTTTTAATTATCCATGAGTCCTGTGTTATAATAATAATAATAATTTAAAAAAAATTTAAAAGCAAATATGACATCTTAGATAATATCTATTTAATTTATATCCAGGACAACTTTTCTGATACCAGAGCATTATTTCTGTGAGGCATCATTACTTTGTGTTACTTTCTGTGAGTAAAAGCACACAAGTTAATTTTTTGAAGGGATTGTTTCTAGAAATTAATCTAGAATTATTGCTTGCATCTATCCTGGTCTGGTGTCCATGTAGCTAATTGGTGTCCCTAGAACTACTTTAAGCTTCTGGTTGTTTGTACCATGTCCCAGAAAAAGAAGGGCATTGAAGAAGAGAAAGTTTACAAACTGTACTTCTTTTTTATCTCTCTTTTTTCCCCTCTTCCCCCGTCAGCCTCCATCTTGTGGAGTGTGAAGTGAAGTACTTTCCTGTGACTTCATTATCCATTGCTTTAGGTCACTGTCTTTAACTGGAACGGAAGGCAACGGGTTGTACTTAACTAGAAAGTTTGATTGAGGGATCTTTTGCTTCCCTACTGGAGGTGAAGCCATAATTATGTCTGTGATTGGATTGTAGAGGAGGATAGGTAAGATAAAATACTGAAACATAAATAATAGTGGACTTGTATTTAGTTTGCTTTCTCTTACTGAATGAATAATCTTTAAATTTTTAAGAAAAATGAAACAATACTTCAGAGATTTAAACTGAAGTAAATATTTTTATTTTCTTGAAACTTTATACGTGTTGATATATCGAGTAGCCAGTAAATGTGAAATTGTATGTGTGCTGCCATTTATCAAAAGATTTTTTGTTTCTCACTTTGAGGACAATTAATAGCAGCAGGCTTGTTAAACTTCCTGCCTTAGTATTGATCAATAAGCACTCATTCCAGAAAGCTGTGCTTCTGAAAGGTCTAGCATTAAATAAAAAGCTGACATTTCAAAGATTGACTTTCATGGCCAATCAAGAATGTAACCATCTTACATTTAAATCCTTTAGCATTCATATATTTTGTCTACATTTTTGTGCCAAAGTAGTACATTTTGTGAGGCTACCAGCAAGCAGATATGCACAGGCTTGATGGTTCAACAGTGGCTTGTAGTGAGCATGAGCTTGTTGTGTTTAAGTATGTTGAACTCTCTTATATTCTGAGCAAGATGAGAGATGGGTTCTTGTGGTGCAGTGTACCTGAAGATGAGAAAAATCTGAAATAGCAGAAGTTGAATCCCTGTTAATGTTTCAGTATAAAGTAGATACATTAAATAATAGATTTGTTATGTAAGCAGAACTAGTTGGAAGAAGCAAAACAATTGAGTACTTTAAAGAAGTTTGTTGCTTTATTTTATAGAAAAAAACATGACAGCAGTCTATTAAGACTTTATAAAGTTCTGGTGCAGCAAGAAAGGAGTGTTACCATATCATTTCTAGCAGTAATAAATTTAAATGGTCTGGTTGTTACTAGAATGCTGATCAGGAAGGAAACAGAAGTCTGTCCTTTTTTCATAAAAAGGTATAAAAAAGGTTACACACTTCAAAATGCAGAAAAGACAGAAATTAAAAGCTTAAATAACTGCAAACAGCAGGGTACGTCAGTAATGGAAGGACTTCTTAAATGACTTTGACAGCTTTTGCAGGTGCACGTACTATGTCACTTAGGCTAGTGGAGCATTGAAAAAGATTTATGGTTCTCCTTTTGGAATTTATTAAGAGTTTCTTTCTTTCTTTTTCTTTCTTTGTAAAGCAGTCTGGACATACCCCTCCCTTGCAGTCGTTTTTATTACAGCTCCTAGAGGAAAGTCACCTATTCAAAAACATGTGTTGCTTGTTGTCTCCATGGCTAGCTCACAGAGCTGTAAACTCTGGAAAATGTTGTTATTTACAGCCAGATATTTTCCTTTCCTTCTCCTTTTGCTTTTATTTCTTTGTATGTAAATGCCATTTTCTTTGGCTTAGTTCTTGAAAGTCTTCCTGTATAATTTTGTACCCTTAAAAATTTAAATTGGTAACAAAAGTATTTTTTCAAAAAGAATGTCTGACCATCAGGAACTAGAAGGGGTTTTTTTGTTTTGTTTTGGGTTGGGGTTTTTTAGGTTTATCAACATATGCTCTGTTATATTCCTTTATATGATGTTATTCTTGTTTTCACTAACATGCTTGCATAATACTGTTTGGAGATGCTCTGAGGGGCTACTGCTACGCCTTTGGTGTTTGCTGATTCTAACTAATTTTATTCAGTTCCTGATTCTCAAAGACACAACCTTTTTCTCTCGCTCGCTCGCTTTCTCTCTCTCTCTCGCTTTCTCTCACTTGCGCTCTTTCTCTCGCTCAGGCTCCCTCTCTTTTCTTTTTCTGGAATTTGCCATCTATGCTTTTTGAAACTTTATTTACTATTTTGACAAATCAGTGAGTGTTATCTTGTGGGATTTTATTCCATTGACAGAGTTAATCCATCTACAGATGAACAAGTGTCGGGTTTGGTTTTGTTTTCTGAAATTTCTCAACATTTTTAAAGAACCTTCTTTCTTGCAAAATCTTGTCTTCATATTGGTTGAAGTAAATGTGGTGGGAGCATGTAATTCTGATGCAAATTCCAAGAAAGAGAGACAGAGACAGGGGTTTGCCTTCCTAATAATTATCTCATTTTCTTTCAACTGTTACTTGACGTAACACGTTAAGGACCACGTTTCCTCTTTGTGGACAAGGAACTATGGAAAGTGTTATCAGAACTTACTGCTTTAATTAAATCCTCTCTTGTTGAACAAAAACAAATGTGTCAGTCTATAAAGAGTGAACATTGAGACATTCCTAACAATAATGGGGGGTCGGGAAGTTACAGAGAAGTGTCCTGGTACATGTGTAAAGAGTGTGTACAGTGTAGAACACTGACGACATCTGTAATAGGCAATGTACTGAAATCCTCACAGTACAAGATTTCCAAGTTCCTTGTAGTCTGAAATTAAGGCCATATTTCTTCCCCATAAGTGGCTTGTTGTACATTTAGGCATTTGGTGAACTGCATGATGAGATGTGGGCAGTAACACTTCTTTTTACTTGCGTATGATTTTCTTTAAAGTTAGCTAACACTGCTTTCCCTTTGCACAAATTCTATCCATATGTCTTTAAATTATGGCCAGTTTTCCAAGGTTCAGAATCTCTTCAGTGGATTGACTGCCTGCATAGTTAATCTTTGCAGGTTTTTGATAGAAAACCAGTATAGGAGATGACGGACCTTAAGACAGTCATTTGTGAAGCACAAGTGACTAAAATTCCTGACTTAAAAGTTCTGGTCAAGATAGAGACTTTTTTTCAAGTATTGTAAAAATCTTTAGTCTGGTTCTGTTTGCTAAATAATAATAATATGATATGACAGCTTAGTGAGTACTCAGTATTATGGTAGTGTGTGAATTTACAGCACACCAGCTACTCTACACAAGCTTCCCATGGGACGCTCTGAGTGTATGCTAACTTTGAGTTAACTGTAATTTACAGCAAATTATCCTGCACGAAGGCATTTTTAGTGCACAGTTTTCAAGCTGGTGTACTACTTACTCTGCAATTCTGTTTAACACCCTAACATAAATATAGCTATATAAGAGACTCCTGACTTCTTTTGTATTTGCTGCTTCAAAAATCCATTTTTCTTCATGCTCAGCAGGCCACATCAAGCAAAACTTGGCAAATATTTCTATCATAAAGTAGTAAACCACAGTGCTTTTTGTGATGCGCTTGCCAGAAAGGGGAGGTAGTAGACTTGAGTGATGCTTTTCTTCCAATAGCCAGTCTTCTGCTAATCAAGGCTTTGCATAAATAATAAGGCACTCCATAGGCCATGAAGAAAAATGGTTCTCATGCTCCTTAATTGGTGATGCTTGAGGATTTCACGTCCTCTTATGACAACCTTTAGAAGACTTGATTGATATGTGGTTTTCCTCATCAAGTGCTCAGGAAGTCTTAATGAGTGAAGTGGCAGCTAGGCTCCAAATAAGTAATGCTGAAATAGAAAAAAACCCCAAAATTATAATGTTAACTTTCTATCCTTCAGACTCGTTTCAACCAGCGCCTCAGTAACCAGGATTTTGCCTTGGATGAAGATGATGATGATGAAATGGAGAGAACAAGCAAGTAAGAAGCCTGTCTGGATGTATGTGTATGGATGGAAGAAGGGTAGTTAGTGTTATTCAGCAAAGTTGAGTTTGTGTCACACATTTTTCTTCTGTCTAGGCTGCTATCTTGATTCTTGGCCTAGATTATGTCAAGTAGTTCAGGATTAAATCTGTTTTTAAAAAGAGGGACAGGCTAGTATGTCTTTTCATTATTTATAGTGCCTAGAAGAGCTTGACATAATCCTCAGTCTTCACAGACTCCAGATAAAAAGATAGACTACATACACAAAGAAGCAGCAAAATAATACTTGTCAACATGGTGGGCAGTGACCACAGCTAATCTATTCTTTAAGTCTTGTGTCATGATCATGAGGTTTTCTGAAGGGTCTGAAGGAGAAGTACTGCCTTGTGAGTTTTATATCAAGGTCTTCCTATGTGTGAATTAAAGGAAAATCATAAGTTGAGGCTTAGGCTGCATTGAGGCATTCTCTGATTGAATTTAGACTATTTTTGATAATGAGCATATGGATATAAACCATGAAGGACCTTGAAAGCAAAGTCAAGCAACTTAAGCCATGATGCTGTAGGGAAGAGGGAGCTACTGAAGTGTTCAAAGGATATCATTAAAACAGTGACCCATGGAAATACCCTTTGTAGTAGTATTCTGGGTAGACAGAGATAGGGAAAGACTGCAGTAGTATGGTGGACAGAAGTAAGGGTATTGCAATGAATGAAAGAGAAAATAAGAGGCAAAAGCACCAGTTGTTCTTGCAGATAGGCAGTACTCCAGTAAATCTGGTCATATGACAGAAGAGTTGCAGTATGAGAGTCTTGCCACTAGAACAAAGTATGTGGCTGGGTCAGCTGGAGAGGTGTAGCAACACTGACGTAAATATAAGGTGTAGACAAGGGAAAAGAGGAACCAATTTTTGAATAACTGTAAAATTTGGAGGGAAGATTTGGGAAGTCATATTAAAGGTGACTTGAAGTAACAGTTGTAGTGGTTGGGGAAGAGCTAGGAGACAGGAAAACCAGCTAATGGTAACTGCATCTCCATAGATATCATACATCCATGTTTAGGAGAGTGCTTGAGTAGAAAGAAATTCCGGGTTTGTTCTCTTTCAGAAGTCTTGGAATGTGTTCTCCTACTTACTTTCAGAAGTGGCTGTAATAAAATGGTTTTTATGTTCCTGGCTGATGGAAAAGTTTTTGTTTTCAGGTTATCATCAGAAGACAGTGAAGAAGCTTCTGCTTGCTTTTATGATAGTGATGATTGTGGTGAAACTGGAATAACTCCTCAGCATCAAGGAGAAATGGACTTGCTTGGGGAGATTTTGGACACACTGAGCACACACAGCTCAGATCAAGGAAAGCTCTCAGGAGCAAAAAGCCTGGATTTCTTTAGGTCAATGGATGACATTGATTACAAGACTGCGGTTAGTCTTCTGCTTTCATTTGAAAAACAACTCTAATCCCCTTATAATGGAATCCTGCACCTGTGGAATCAGCAACATGCAGTTCAGACACTGCAGCATAGTCTGTAGAATTGCTAGTGTGTCTTCCTAGGGCTACGTAACAGTACACCCATGCTAGCCACTGCATGATGGTTTTTCACCAGCCAAGAGATTGGTTACACCTTTGTCCAGTCCACCAAGTCATCCTGGAACAGTATTTTTTCTTTATAACAGTAACCACATACAGACCTGTGAATAATGTAATAATTTACTTAAATAGTTTAATATTCTATTTAGCTATTCAATCTGGTATTTCCAGAGCTGGTTTTAGTCTTTTTTTATGCAGTTTAGAAGGTATTTATTTCCATTTTCACCTTGCATCCTTAAACTAGTCATAGTGATATGGTGATGTTTCTGTCTTGATTAAGTCATGGGGTCCATGTGGTAATTGCACCTGAAACACTGCTAGAATAGTACTCCAGAGTTTTCTGAGAGGGCTCCTTGATCCTTTTTTAGGTAGAGTTGCACAGGACTTGTAGTGTAAACCAACCACTTGCCTACAACTTTAAAACCCTCACCAAGTCACTGCTGTGATGTTAGCCAAAAAAAGTTACTGTTTTTGAATTCCAGCTCATATCAACTGTCCAACATTTGCTTTTGCTGAAAGAGATCCTATAATAGAAGAGTCATTACTGGAAGAGCAAATTCTGATGCAAATGTTTTAAAAGCTTGTAAAATTTTATATTATGAGTGTCACACAGGGGTCACATTAATTAAATGCCCATTTTTGTTTGTTTGGCCCAAAAAACTTAATATTGAAAGTTGTTATAAGTAATTACTGAAGCAAAGAGGAAATGCCATCTGGTTTTAGTTTTAGTCTAGCTCCTTCTGATATTGTGGGTACAAACTAGCAAAGTGTGTCTTTGTTCACTGTTAAAACTGCTTGTACAAAGACTGAATGGACAGGGGAGACAGAAATCCTTCCTATGTACAAAAGGTGATCCTTAGGATAAAAGACAGAGTGTTCTGGCGAGGAAGTGTAAAAGCAATTGATCTTACATTGTTTATGGGATTGTTGTTTTGTAGCATTGAACACCAAAGGAGATCCATGATTCAGAAACACACAACATCCATTACAGTATTTTTGTTTCAAAAGTGCCTGTGTAGAGACATTTCTTGTGACATTAACTATAAACACGTGTTCTTTCTTTCAGAACAAGTCAAATGCACCTAGTGAGACCAATCTTACCCTGCTCTGTAGCAGTGCTAATGATCAAGCAGAGTGGAACCTCGGTCAGGATGACAGTGTCCTCCATGGGAAGCAGCTCCCTCCATCGCCAAGGAAGCATGTTTCTTCTGGTGGCCATAGAGAAACTCTCTCAAGGCTGGAAGAAGAAAGTAGTGACAGAACCTTTATTACTGACAAGAGGGACACCACTAGTATGACATCCCCATCTCCAGTACAATTAAGTGCCCAGTTTGCTTCTCTAGAAAGTTTCAAAGCAGGCTATTCTTTCTGTAAGTATGCAAAGCAGAATGAAACCCTAAGCAATACCTCAGAAGATCAGCTCCCAGCAAGTCTTGCTCAACATACATCCATTCTGGTCCCTTGGGAGAAAGATGGGGAGGAAGGAAATGAAACCCTGGAGGAGGGTGGGCTTCTTCAAGAAGTGGTGTCATTATGTAAACTGAGTTCTGCTTTTCACTATGGTTTAAATATTTCAAAGGATAGCTTATCCAGTAGTAGCAGTGGGAATAAAACGTAAGAAAACTATGAGAAGAGAAACTTGACTCCCATCAGAAGTTAAAGGGAGACTACTCAGGACTCCGTATAACTCCATATAACATGATAACCAAAAGATGAAAAAGGAGTAAGAGATCTTTGATTATAAAAATAATTCTCTTCAGTTGAGTATGCATTTTCTGCCATTGGGACATCCGCTTCTATGTTTACCCAGTTCGTTTGTTGGCTGTAGTTAGGTCCACAAAATGGAACTAAATATATGAATGCACTCTTAAATCAGGTACTAGTTAGTCTCTGTGTTAAAAATACAGCAGGTGTATGGTGCTTCTTAGCATTTGCTTCCTCTAAGCAGCAGGAAAGGTATCACCTAACAGGTAACCAGGTTTTGAAGGTACTATATTAATCCCATTAAGCAATTAAGCAATCTGATTTGTCTGAAATGTACAAATGTTAATATTTGTAATGAATGACAACTGCCTTAATCTTTTTGAGAAGAGGTTTAACTATCTTAGAAGATGAATGCAAGTCTACAAAACAGCAATAATGATTTTCCATGGCAAGAATTTCCTTCAGGAAAGGGGAGTGGGAAAGGAACCTTTTTTTAGATTAAGGAATTTCTTGTGAATATAACTTGGAACTTTCTCACTAAAACTGTGGCCCTGTCTTCCAGACTTTGAAAAGGTAGTGCATGTTTTTCTCTCTTCTGTAAAGTACATGAAGTGCTGAATTATAATGTGACGTTATTAACGTCTGTTTACAACTAAGACACTTTAAAGTGATGTTATCTGGTTGCCCTGGGTAGACTATTTCACCTAAACATTTTCAGAAAGGAAAGTGTAAGTAGAATTGATAGATTTCTATTATTTTTTATCTTCTACAGTTTAATAGAGTTTGAAAACTAATTTGTGCCTCTTCTGAACTATTTTCTTTCCATTTTTCGTAGCTACCTTTTTAAGGTAGATTGAATTACTGTTACTTAGAAGTCATATTTAGTTAAATTATTAAAAGAATCATGACTGAAAATTACTTGTAACACTAGAAAACTAAAATTACAGATTCAGCTTGAGACCGCATATATCCAACTCTCATTTTATCCAACTTGAACAACGAAAAATCTCTTTCTAAATTCGGTGAAGGAGAATAAATGGACTTGATGTATATTGTATTTAGAACAAACATTTGTCCTCCTTCTGGCAGCATTCCTGAGGAATATTTGGATATTTACATCTGAAAATTCTTGCTGCTATATGGACCAGCTCTTTCCTTTTTTTATTTTATTTTTTAATTTTCCTGCCCTTTCCTTTTTCCACCTCCTCACCTTACCGTATATACATTGTCCTCTACAATAGCTCAGGACAGGAAAGGCATGGAGTAAGTTTCAGCAGATTGGAATTGTCAACTTTGAAGGATATTTGTGATGCAGTTGGCAGAAGTAACATGTGGGTATAAAATGAACTGTGCCTGAGAAGAATGTTCTGCTCTTCTAAACTCATGTCAGAAACCTTTTTTCTTTCTTTCCCTCTTCGGCATGAATGGTTAGTCTTAATCTCAGTATAGGCCTGAGTGAGCACATTCATGAAGGCAGTATTTGGATCAGATTGTGCTTTAATATCTTAATAGTAGTTTGTAGCAAAGTTTAATATCGGTTGCCACATTGAGATTTATGAATGAATTTTCCTTCTAGCTAAAACAATTGAAAAGAGTTTTTCTGGCTGCTTTGTTACAAGGCAGCTGACCTAAGAGAATGGATCCATATCATTACAGAGGCAATGTTTGATGCTTTACCAAAGAGATGCAGTGGAGTGAGACCTTGGCTTTGTTAATGCAAAAGTTTCAGCTTCTTCCAGAATGAGAAGGGCTGGACCAGTACTTGTCACTGAGGATGAGCCTCCAGAATTTTTTTTTTTTAATCAGTGCAATGAAGGTAAAAGGTTGTAAAAGTGCAAATCTTACAGAAATACCTGTGTCTGATTAGAGCATGAACATTCCTGAGGGCATTTGCAATCTGCATTGCTGGAGAGTCTCAATATTCCAGAGTTAGAGGTTGTATGTCCAGAGGTCTGTACTCCAAAGTATTTTATCTATCCTTTGGTCTTCTCTTGTGTATCAACACGGCATGTTGTGGGGGTTTTTTATAACATAAAGATGTTATTTGGCAAAATATTTTGCACTATTAAAAATCAAAAGTATCATAAAAATTATTTTAAATCTTCGCTCTAAACTTTCAAGGCGGATCAGACCAGGTGGCTCAGGTGCTGTTCAGATGAGAAAGCTGCAGAGCAACTTCATGGATACTTGTTTAGAGGTGATACTAATGACTAGGCAGAGGGCATTCTTCTTTGCTGGTACTAAACATTACCCAAACGTAGTGCTGCCAAGTATGTCCAAGAGAAGACAAGCAACTCAAAGGTTTTTGTTCTTGTAGCGCTTCTCATTCCTTCTCATTCATGTCCTTGCATTTTGTTGATGAGAACTTCAAGATTCACCTTTTCTTTTCCTCTGCATCTGACATTGGTGTTTCTGTCCATGGTTCCATCTAAGATGATGTTTTGTTTTCTTCATTTAATAAAGATAATAAACAGTGTTAATGTCTTAAAGAGAAAAATAGGAAAAATTGTAAATTATGGCCATCATTACTTTCAAAACCATCAAACTTGTAAGTCCAGGAATGCTGCCAGAAAATTATTTTAAAAAATGCATCTCTGACAGAATAAATCTTACTGGCTTTACATGAGAGTTAGGCACTGAACTCCTATTATCACATAGATTGTCCCATTCTCACCTTTGTGGATAAAATATGGAAGCCATGTGAGGCTGCTAATATAGTTATTATAAGGAACATAAAATTGAACATTTGAAAGTGGAATCTTTCAAAATCGAGGCATTGTAGTGATAATTCAGTGCTTCATTGAGCGAAAATGCAGGCTGAAAAGAAGTAAACATGAACTAAAAGATGGAAGGTAAAATTCAACTTAGAATTATTTTTATTTCAGTCAAAATGTTAGTTACTGTGGTTATGCCACATTGTTTCCTTACTATTTATAAATGCCATAGAGTGTTTACAGTCATTAAATAGTATGTGTTTTTTGGTTTTGAACCTTGTATGGGTTAGAAAATAACTCAGTCTTATATCTATGTTGAATTTAACTGTAGGTACATTTTTAACTCTGTAATATTACAGAGTCTTTTCCACTTACTATCAGTGATCTTCTAAAAAGGCTAATATTTGTGCCTTATTTAAACAGATTTACCAGTTACCAAATAGATAAGAGTCCAAGCTGATATTTCCGGTTCAACACTGTTGTTCCCTGTCCTTGTGATAATATAAAACTGTTTATTGGCTACAAATACAGTATTTTTATTAACACATTGGGTTCTATGTTAAAATAAATTGTCCAGGTCCAGTACTTTTTACAAGTTTTATACTTTTTATTTGTGGAAATCCTTCTAATGCCTTTGAAAATCATCAACATTCATTACCAGCTACTGGTGAGAACTGAATTCTGCTCAGTCAGAGCTCCTGTGGTCGTCTTCAGAGGCATCTCTTTTCTTCAGGATCTCAAAAATCTTCCCATTTCTCCTGTTTAAGGGAGATACCAGGTTATTTGATTAAGCTTTGTAATGTTACTTACACACAGGAACAAATTTCTAATGTAGAAAGTCAAACTAGCACTTGAATTTAATATCTTCAAGTTTGTTTTGCATAGATGTCTGCCTGAAATGAGCCGTATCACTCATCTGGTTTGGAAAAAAGTAAGGGAAGTAGAAAAGAAAAGGATTCCTGGGTTGTTCCAGTGGGGTGTGGTGAAGCAGAGCCTGGGAGTCCTTAGGAGGAATAATAACTTTGAGGAAATCCAGATTTCAGGATATTGTTTAATGTTCTAGCTCAGTTGTAGTGATTCCAACCCAGCCATGTAGGCAAAAGTAATATTGCCTATGGAATTAATCCCCTGTGGGATTTGGAGAACGGATAATGTGTTGTCCCAGTCAGAGCCTTCCCATCCACCTGTATAGAAATGCAACATGTGAAAAACAGCACAGATGTTCAGGGAAGGACAGTACTGTGGATGCAAAGGTGATCCCTACTCACCCCCTATGCATGCAGAGGGCAGTCTGTGTAGAGTAGGTAGTGGTTTGCTCTTCCATCCCACATATTTGGGCATCACGTAGCTCCAAAAAAATAGACTTGTTCTGAAGGAAAAATGTAGTTGTAGAAGTTGTCATAGAACTTGTTGACTGAACCTTCATTGTCATTTAGCATTTCAGTGATATTGCTGCTGTTTGGGTTGGGTCATCAGAAACTCTCAGCGCTGGCTGAAGTCCCCTCTCAGGCATTGTAACACGGGCTTCAGCCGGAGTTTTAGACACATGCTGAGGTGCTTTTGAAAATCCCACCCAACCTATTAGAGGAGTGGTTTAAATCTCAAAAATCTGTTTTAGGTATCTTTTCAGGTTTTAGAATGAGCTAGTTTACAACCTCGTGTTCTTGTACATGGTGTAAAGTCTAGGTAAAAAACCAGTTAAGCCAGGTTTTTAAAACAGCTTCTATTTCTCCACCTACAATCAATCATATTCAGTCCTACAGAACAATCTTTCATTGGTGCAGCCATCTAATGGAATTGCTAGGACCATCTAAAATCTTTTCTCTATGCACGTTATTAATTGAAGAAACATTTCATGCAATAATCAGAAGTGCCAGCATGAGGCCCTTTTGCAAATGCACCCCCTGTGTAATACTGACTGTAGTACCCTGTCCTGCAGAAAGGAGCCCCATAACCGCTGACCTCCCTGACTCTGCAGGGAGAGGTCAAGGGTGGTCTTTATTGCCAAGGGAGTTAGCATCTTCTCTCTTGGCGCCAGGCTCTAGTCCAGGTGCTGTGAGACTCCAGCCAGCATGTTCCCAACAGCCTGAAATTTCAGGCTAAACAAGTGTGGCTAATAAAATTACGCCTGAGGCAAGGAGCTTTCCTATTGCAAAGCTCAGGATAGTGAAGGCTGTCTGTTCCCGTGGTATCATGGTAAATCTTTGGAGAACAAATGTGGAAATAAATGCACCAGCAAAACCAGTATGAATGGTGTTGTGACTTGTCTTCAGTAATTTCTTTGCTGCTATTAGATGTGTACGTCTTTGCCAAGCATTGTTTACCTGTTAACAGAATCTGTGCTGAATAGAACATCTTCACCCCAAGAGCATAGACCACAGCTGGTCTAGAATTCATGATCTTCAGGGTGGTTGAAAATAAAGGAATGGAAAAAGAAATGTTATGTTCTTTGTACAAAACCTTCCTTGATTTGCTTTGTAGTGTCTGTTTTACAGTGTTAGTCAGTGGCCACTTGAAAGTACTTGATAGGTCTTTCCTGGAAGCTACTACA